AGGAGGGGGGGGGTTGATGGTCGTCGATGTATAAGAAATAGAAGGGCGAGAGTGACGAGACGCCTGAGGAAGGTGGAGGACAAAGAGGAGGAGGGGGCGGAGAGGGGGACGAAGTAGGGGGGGATGAAGAAAATTTTAATTCGTTTCTGGCGCCCCGAGGGCTCCTGGGCGAAGCGCCAAGTATTTCAACGTAGAGTCTCTCCACTTTCTTTTTACCTTCTTAATACATCATTCCTCTTTCTTAACCGTAATGGTTACTATACACTCTGCTGCCTCTTATTCATCTTCGGATTCTTCATCATCCTACTTCTGGTCTTCATCCTGGGCTTTCTGTATATGATTTATATATACGTATATATATATATATATATATTGTCTTGTGGAACGAATATCGTGTCGTAGTAATGTTTTATTTTTTTCTTCCTATCCCTACCCCCCTCCTCCCCCCATCTCAAAAATTCACGAGGGCATTAATCGAATTTCGAATCGGAAACGCGTTTGAGCTTTTAATTTATTTTTTCACAATTTTTCCCATTCCGTCGACCCCCCCCCTTCCCCCTCTTCACCCACGGTGCTAATTACAGAAACGTCCTATGCAACCGACAACCCGTCGTATTTTACGAAATGACCTCCTTCTTATCGGTAAATGACTTTTGCCGTAACTAATGTCACTCTTGATTACGACGTCTCTGCATGGTAATTAATCGAGGCGTTAATTAATCTTGTAGTTGATAACGATCGGGGTACGTCCAATTAACGTAATAAATATCGTTCGTCTTTGAGTCCGTTACGCGTGGGTGGTCAGAGGTTACCGTGAAGCTGTTAGTCTGCTATATATATTTATTTTTTTTACATAAATGCTGATGAACTTTGGCCGTTACGACTGATTGTTAGGTAAGAGTTTGTGAAATGATTTTAGTCACGGTAACAAGTTGAAGATAATTTTTTCAAAAAAAAAAAAAAAAAAAAAAAAAAAAAAAAAAAAAAAAAAAAAAAAAAAAAAAAAAAAAAAAAAAAAAGAAAAAAAAAAGAAAAGGATAATTAACACATTTTTTATGTCCACGACATGTGTACGAAGCTGTAGGAAGAAAAAGTTTTCGTATAAATTAAATATATTAATAAGCGTGCAGGTAGGAGGGCAATTAATTAGAAATGTTGATTGGATAAATTTTAATATCTGAAAATGTTAAATCAGATCGAGATAATAATTGAATCGGTATAAAATTCGCTTAGGAGATTTCAATTTTTTCGAGCTGCCACGTGCTTGGTAATCATTGTCAGATTTGCACCCCTTTCGGAGGAGAGGGGCAGGAGGGTTGCTTTCATCCCCCTGCCAGCATAGTCTGGCTGTGTCGCAATGCAAAGAAAAGTATCCTTTGCCGTTGGTAATTAACAAAATAATTAAACAAACTCTTTGTGCAATTACGACAGGGGCGAACAAGGAAGTGAGATGTGGGGGGCGGGAAGGGGGGCGAGATGCGACGCTAGTGGGGTTGCTGGGAAGGGAAGTGCCCTTTGCGGCACTGAGACCCTTGATTACAAGCCCGGCCCTGGGTGTCTGGCTATGTACGAGACTTTTCTCCTGCAAATACCCAAACCCCGGTGACGGGGTCTGTACGAGGAAGCAGATTTTCATTCCGCAAATTCGCAACAAATTTTCACGCGAATTCCCGTTTGAATTTCAACGCAGCCACGTGGGCTATTTCCCGCGCGTACTAAATTCACGGCGATTAGTGACAGTCTGCGTTGAATTGGATTTTTAAAAAAATGACGACAGAAAAATTTTGAAAATTTTCTCATCGACAAATCACAATTTTCGAGGAATTGTCGTACTTTAATTTTTCTATATAGTCCTTTTTTTTTTTAATTTTTTCTACATAGCATTTATGCTTTTTATTTGTTCGGGCATGCATTAATAATGTCAATGTTTCGTATATTTTATTCGATCGTTTATTTATGCATAAATAAGTTATCGGCATTGAATTTTTAGTTTATGAGACAATTTTTTTAGTCGGTACTGGGTCTTTTTTTTTTACTTCTTAACTTCTACCGTTCGTCTTTCCTGTATCGGTATTCTATATGTTTATACAATTCAAACTGGTTACGCGCTTCCTGGATCAATTGGAAAGTGAGCTTTCCGGTTTATTTACGGAAATGCATTCCGATACGTCTAGCCATCCGTACAAGTGAATTGGCGTATATATAGGTCCACGTGCATGCTCATCTATATATCTGTACACATATATGTATGTATGTAACGTATTCGACTCGCGAGCTTTCCGCTTTCGGAAACTTCAAAGGACCATTCGATATCGCCGTATGACGAGGTAACGAAATTCACGTCTAATTTCTATGCAAAGCAGGAATGTGCTCTGCAATGGATGGAACGCATCAATGCCACGGGGAGCGTGAGTGGGGGTGGAAAAGAAAAGTTGAAAGGAAAATGGGATAAAAGCAGGAAACGGAATAGTAGGAGAGGAACAAAAGAAATGTAAGATTTTAAGAGGAAGAGAAATTGGAATAGGAACTGGTGAATCCCATTTTGATTTTTGAAGATGGAAAATTGTCTCGGTTTTCTCGTGGAACGGTCGAGGCGAAAGAATAAAAGAAAAGAAGAAGCAGAAGGAAAATGCCGTGGAACAGGTTGGAAGCTTTGCTAGGGAGATTGAGAAATTTCTAGGGAATAATTCGTATCTCTGCGCAGTGAAATTGGGAAAAAATACTGGCTAACGAACCATCTGCATATGCATGGGATATGAAAACGGGACTTAAACGAATAAAACGTGTTGTGTCTACAGTGTTTTTCATGCTGGCGCTGAGAGCCTAGCGCGTTGCTTCATGATTTTTTAAAAAGTATTCATATTTTTCGATATTTTCAAATGCGCCTGTTTCTCGAATTCATTTTGGCCTCGTTATCTGGGTTGTCTGTGGAGGGCACTTTTTTAGTGACTTTTGGAACTTCGAAAAGCGCAGTGAAAATAGTGGCCGCTCCTCGATCCTCCCTCGAGGTCTTTTAAAGCACCAATCTTCACGGAAGTGACGTCTCTTCGCCTCCCTGAAAGCACGATAAAAGTTTCAGCATAATTTTCACCCTTACGGATAATACGAGAAGGTACGCGAGAGTCCAGAAAAATGTTGAAAAATGTTGGAAAAAAAAAGATTATATGGGAAAAGGACGAAGGAGGTAAACGAAAAGAAAAGTAACCGTGAAACACCGAGAGACCGATAAGCAGTCTCGTGGCGACAAATGTTACCCGCGAAATTTTCATATCGCCCGTAAAAGTTTAGTAACTTCACGATTCTCTTTGTCGAGTTGGATATAGACTGTCCTTCCAGCGGTTATTCTTCCTCTACGATATATAAAGCTTCTGATTGCAATACGAGTTTTTATGTCTTCGCGAAAAGAATAGAAGGTCGGTATCAATTAAACGTTGCACTTGATAATATTATTGTGCTACAAAAATAAGTATCCATAAGATAATCTATGGAGATAAAGCCGTGTAAATATACTTACCAATTTTTATTTCATTCGTGTCTGCATTATAGAATTTAATAACATTTCACGTTATTTATTATTCAACTTTTTAGTACTCATTTGACTCAACCGGCTGCCTTGTATCTGTCCGTCTAACTGGTTCAGCAGAAATTCGCCAGGTGGCGCCACTCAGCGCCACTCCGTAAGCATAACGGCCGCGTAGCGAAAGGAATGCGTTCCGCGAAAATCAGTGGTGTCGAATCCTTTGTAAAGTTATTGACAAGTGTAAAGAAGAAAACAGTTTCCTCCTACTGGTCTTCGATAAGTACTTCAAGCATAGCTGTCCATAGAATACATACAGGTATTTCTAACACCGCATTTCAGATCATGCAGGTTCTTACAAATTTGAGAAATATTTTTACTAATCTAAAATCAGACGTAGATTCAAGATCAGTCTAATGACTTCGCGTTGACGTGTCCTTTTGCATGTCTTAGAATCAGACCACGAAACTTGATCCACATAATCGACTTTGTACGACTTTGTATGGCTCTGTTTCTGCGTACCTATAATTGGACCTGTAGATAGTTCTGTAAAAATAACCTAGATCTCAAGTAATCCAACTAGATTGATCCAATCCCACTCAATGTTAATTCTCAATCGAACAACCTAACTACGCTCAACCTCAATCGTAACTTACATACGTTACAGACCCGTCGAGATAGCTAATAACAATTAACATTTTTTCCTATTAGACTATCCAGTGAATGTTATATTGTATAACTATATACACACAAGTAAATGGCACTCTGGCAATGAGTCTGACTGTAATCACAGATGACGTCCAATCAACGAAGGTTAATTCCTTCGAGCTTAGCACTTTGCTTCCCTAAAATGTATGTACCATGCATATACTATTGTATATATACTTCCGTGAAATATGTATAGCCACGTTAAATACATACAGGACAAGTAAGTTACATACATATCAGTATTATAGGCTTCGATATATGTGTGTGTGTATATATATATATATGAATTAATACTTGGGTTCCATCTGCTTTAGACATAACCTAACCTCACCTTCAAGGTTCGTTTACGAGGAATCGAAAACTGCCACTGCTATCGTGGATAATTCCTTGCAGCAAGGATAATTGCAATATCGACAGGTAACTTTCCTATTATCATCATGCTCGGGCTTTCAGAAGCTCTCCCTACCTACCTACTTACCACCTATAACCTACAAACTACTAACGGTGAAATTATCCTTTTGGAAATTAGCCCGTAACCACATAAACGTTAATCAGCCGACTTAAGGTGATCAAGCGAAGCAGTGACGTCTTTTGTCCTATTAGCTGGAATAATTGCGTATCGTTATAATGCGAATTCACTGGTATGTAAATGTTTTCCTGAATCTGCACAACCGAAACTTTTTCTGGTACGAGCGAGGATGAATAATTCACGCTTTACTGATTAATCAGTTTGATGCACGTAATTGTTGGTAAAAATACATTTGGCTTATGAAGAGAATGTGGTTGGGATGTGGATCCTATGGATGGTCATTAATATAAATTAATTAACCTCAATTTTTTTTAGTATCCACGAGCGTCATTGGACCAGTTACCGGAAGGCTTACATTTAATGCAGAAAAATATGGTGGATCGTAAATAAAATAATAGCGGGATTACCTGCACAAAATTTGTCCCAGTTCCTTTTAATTAATTAGAGCGCAGGGCGGGACGTGTGAGGAATTAGGTAATTGATTTTGGAAAGCTGAAGAATTACATTAACACGGATGTGGCTCGCAGTAGAACAAAGGGATACGGATATTTATTTACACGATAGAATTCGTGTATCTTAACCTAATGTACATTAATTAATCAGAATTAATTAAAGTCTGAGCCAAATTTTAATTGCGGAATACGTATGAGGAAAAATGCTAAAAAAAATGGAGAGAGAAAAACCAAGGAGGAACTGGCAGAAATAATTTCCTTGGCATACATAGTTAAAAGTCTCATTTAGTCGGAACGTTACTGGCCGTTTAACGTTCGTAATGGCGAACCTGTAGAAGGTAAAAGGTAGAAGGTTGGGTAGGTTAGTAGGAGGACTAGGAAGGTCGGAGGTTGGGAAGGTATGTTGCTGGTTGGGCACTTTAGTCGTTTGCCACTTGAGGTTTAATGCTTGCAACCGACAAGTTAGCGATAAGAAGAATGCGCGCAGGATGAAAATCGTTAGTAACGCAATTTTCTGGCAGAGTAGAAATTGCGTTTTTTAAATAGAAAATTAATGGAACATAAAAAAATTCTCTAATACGTAAAAATCAGTATTTTGAAGTTTCGTACTTTTTGTAAAATGGTAATGAATAAGGGGAAATATTTTGTCGTGAAAATTTGGAAACGATCAAAAAGAGGAATCCATGGTCGTTTTGCGCTGATAGATAGATCTGATACGTGCATATGAATTCTGTGATGGTCAAACATTTTTTCAATCGATAAAACATGATTTGGGAAAATATTGCGTGACGGAGTTTAGGTTATAGTTTTTTTTTTATGCCAATTTAAAAAATGAGCCGATAGGTTCACACAGGTATATATATATATAGGGTAACCATAGGAGTAATCGAACTTCGTGAAAGGCAAGAGAAGTTCGCGGTAGAAATATAAGGAGAGGAGTGTCATAAATCCCGAAGAAAAGTGAGAAAAACCATGAGGATACCTGTGGCGCAGGAGCGGCCAAAAGACTGGTAGAAATGGGGTTAACAAAAGGGCCCCCCTTAAGCGTTGTCAACCACGTGAGTTAGACCCGAGAAATATTTAATAAATTTTTTTCGAGCCTCTTGCGTGCGTGCGAATGCGCGTAGACTGTTCGCGGATGCATAAATCGTGTGCCCAATGGTGATGGGTGATGGGCGAGGGGTAACAGTGAGGGCTGGTGGGTGGTGCGACGGCGTATCGTGGTCGTACGCTGAACTCCCGAAAATTTTCATATTTTACACGTTAAATTAAAATGAAATGGCGGCCGCGCGAGATCGCATACGGCTGGGACCCCACATTGAGAGATGTGTATACGGGGTTGGCAATGTTGATGACGGTGCTGGTGGTGGTGGTTGGAATGAATTTGGTGAATTATGGCGGCTGTAAAAAATTATGTTTTATTCATAGTTATCAGCCGGCCCGGAGAATGGCAGATGTGTGCATTCTGGAATTAGGGGTACCAGCTAACGTATACGGCCCTGGCTACCCCTGCTCTCCCACACCTCTGACTCAACTGTGGATGCCTGCGTACCGTGTCTACGCGGCGGCTGCCCGTTCCGGGGGATATTTCCACGGCCAATCTTCACGGGCCTGTCGGCTATCTAGGAATTTACATTTTTTTCAACGCTCCTTCCGCCGACGAGGAAGGATGGACTGGAGGGGACGTAAAATACGAAGGAGAGGGGTGAGTCAAATTTAAATATCACGAAATATTAATGACACGTGGCAATTGAAAATTTTGATATTTTTTTTTGTTTCTTTTGTCAAATTTATATTCAATTTCTTTAATCGAGTTCAAACAACGTATCCTTATGAATTATATCAAACTTCCCTCTCCTAACCCTTAAAAAAAATTTCTGCCTGAGAAATCAGGGGTTCGGGGCTGGTTGGCACGATTTATTTTTATTTAAATCGTATTTTAAATGCATTTTATTTAAATCTCTAGGACTACGGATATATTTACCCCCTGAACCCCCTCCCGTGCTCCCGTAAGTCCGTGCCATCCTTTTGCACCGCTCGAACCTTTGAGAGAAACTTTTTCCAAAAAAAAAAGGGAAAAAAGTTAACGTTTCCTTCTGCCCTCCACGTAGCTCCTGAGGGGCTGCGAGTAGGGGGCAGTGGGCGGTGCCGGAAGCGGCATCGAGTGGCGTATAGGGGAAACGCAAAGTTTTTTCAAAACTGACAGCGCCGAAAGGTTGTATCAGGCAATTACTTAATTAATAGAAAAACTCAACTTTCCTCCGGATCAGCTCTGTCCCCCCCCCCCAAGCACCCTTCGCAACTCGGTAGCTACCCCATTGGGGCCCCATGTGACCCCATCTAACTACTTTGGCTCCCACACACTCCGCCCCTGTCCTCCTAAGGGATCCCAGCCCAGCACGCTTAAGGAGTTTCCACTTCACAGGGCATTTCTTCCATATGACGACTCGCCGAGGCAAGAGCCCAAACGGGAGCTTCAGGGGCTGGGTGGTTAAGTAAGTTGTATCCACCCACTTTGGACAAATTAAAAATTCTTACCGAGTTGAAGAACCGTCCTTCCTTTTTTTTTTCCAACGGCCTTCATCATCCTTTTACGAGTCTAACCCTAACCTTTTTCTGCTTCGGACCATACGCGATACCAAACGCGGATTCTCAGTCGAGAGCCGTTAGGCGCGGCTGATATCCTTCTTGCCAGTTTGAAATTTCTTGCGTACTCCTCCTACCCACTCGCGTCGCTGATATATCGTAAGGTAGAATCTAGGGACTTTTTTGTCGCGCCGTTATTCAGAAACTTCCTGCCGTACAAATATTTCCCTAGGACACCCGTTACACGTATAACCCATTTGGACGTAGACTAGGGAGAACGTAATGCCTATTGTACGTTTTATAGGTATATTATTAGTACCAACTGCCAAACATTCGAACCACGCGAAATCCCTAGAATATCAAAGCAGTCGTCTGTCTACTCGTTAGACGAAATTTCAAAGTATCCCGCTTCCAACTCTCACTCGATATTCGTGGCAAATTTTTTTTGTTTTCCTATCTACCCAAAAAACCTCCCGACCACCCTCTATCCGTCTCCCTCTTCGTCGTAAGGGTAAAATCCCTTCTTCTTGCTCGGCGCTCCGTGAGATGGCTGCCGGCAAAAACAAACTTTGCTTCTTGCCGCGTAGCTGTCACGGAGTGCAGAACGATGTGCCTCGGAGGCCTCTTTGAGTTCATTAGGTTTTACCGGGGTGGCTCCGGGTGGCTGCTGCGAGTAGACGGTCAGGGCCGGGGCGTGTTTCTCTCGTCAGTAAGGAAAGTGGTGGGCGTTGCATCCTGGGCGTTTGTTTTTATAACGTTATAAAAAAAAAAAAAAAAAAATGAAGACAGAGGACTAAAGCATATAAAAAAGAAAGGGCAAAAAGATACTTTACTGCAGAGCCAGTGCAGGTAAGAAATGACGCGAGGGGGGAAAATTGGATGGGGGGGGGAGGATGAACCGACGAAGAGAACAAATGGCAGCGGCAGCAATTCGAGAGCACTTTGAACATTATCGAATTATCAATTGGAAATTTCACCAGAAATTCCTTAGAACGTTTTTCACAGGAATTGTTAGGTACCGAGAGTCCGGCGGGGAGGGGAGTGACGCTACGGCAAGGGATGGAGTAGGCACGAAAGGGGGTTAGAAAAAAAAAAGCAGAATCATTTCTCAAACAATGAAAAGTTTCAGGGCGGTGGTCTTCTTGGCGTTTGTCAAATAAAAATGACGACTTTTCTGCTCCCTTTCTTTCGTCGTCTCTTCCTATATCCTTTTTCGTTCGTTCTTTCTTCTTTTTCCTTTTTTCATCCACTCCCGAGAGAGCTCTTAATTCTATGCAAAGATCGGAAAGTAATAGGGCGTCCATTTAACTGGGCAGAGGAAGAGGGCAACTGTGTACTTTGGTAATAAAATGTTTTTTACCCTCTTCCTTTCCTCCTGACTACTCCCCCTCCCTCCCTCCCATTTCATCCCGAGTTCTCGGGTCTCGCATAGGTACAAAGTTCCCGGGTTCGTGCGTTGCCCGTGAGGCTGTGTGGTAATTTCTTTTTACTGTAGTTCTTCCTTTTGCCTGTCTGAAGTCCTAGGGACATTTTCTTACCTCGGTAAAGCTGGAACCGCCACAGTGGTGGAAATGGAAACTAAAATTTATCGGAAAATTAGGAACTGTTTAAGAGCCATATAAGCACCTTTAGAAAAATTTTCCAGCTTCGCCCCTTTGACTCGGAAGCTGTGGCGGTACTGGTTGAAAAAAAAAAAGTTGGAACTGTTATAGTATGATGAATAAAAAAACTAAGACAAGCGGAACATGGGATTTAAGAGGTAATTAGGTGCTTCAAAAATATGCAACAGTCAAATTTGGAATTTCACCCCCCCCCCCCCCCC